CGGGGCTGAGAGGAAAGAAAGGCTGGAAGGCACTGAAGTACTAAAACCGGCCCCTCCGAATGACACCCAGCCTGTGTGGGAGAAGTGAAGCCCGGACCCCCTGAGGGAGCACCTCCAGGGAAGGAACAGAGCAGCCAGGCACCTCCCCCTGTGTGACCCCAACAGTCAGCCACCTCCCAGAGCCTCCACGTCCCACCCCCACCTGTGAAAAATGAGAAGAGTGCCCGGCATCTGGAAGGAGCGCACGCTGTGTCCCTGGCCCGCCCGCCTGTCTTAGGTGGAGGCTGGGGAGCGAAGTCACACCATGGGCCACGCTGGCTGCTCAGTAGCCACTGTCAGGCTGGCGTCTGGGAACTGAGGTTGTAAAAGGACGTGTGACCAGAACCAGTAATACAACAACTGATTCTAAAGGAAACCAAGATGTTGACCATGGGTGAGCCACTCATTAATTAAAATCACAGCAAAACTGATTTGCAGCAAGATAAGGGAACCGAGAAACCCAACGCATTCCATTGAGGGGCCTGCTGGCCACGACGAACCAATCCCGGGGGTTCAGGGCTGAGCGTGTGCAACACCAAGCCCAGAGCCAGGACCTGCCGCCCGTCTCCCACATGGCCTAGCTCCTCATTTCATCCCCAGCAGACACGTCCCAATCCTGCTCTTGTCTCCTGAGTCCAAATCTCATTCTTGGTGCCCTGCCCAGGGTGGTCAAACCTCCCTGAGGCGAAGCCTGGCCAGCCTCTGTGACGGACCTCTCGTGCTGCTACAGACTCTCGAGTCCTGGTTCCAGGTGTGCTGGTTCCAGATGTGCTGGTTCCAGATGTGCTGGTTCCAGATGGGCTGTTCCAGGTGTGCTGCTCCAGGTGTGCTGGTTCCAGGTGTCCCGGATCCAGCCCTGGGCCACACCGGTGCAGACCCACACAGGAAACAATTTTGCACCAACTCACCAGAAAGAGCACCAGGGAACACAAACACCGGCGTTTTAAAAAATCTGCTGATACTCAACCCACGTGGCAGGCTCTGCTGATGAACTGGAACAGAATAGTTTAGAAGCCTAAGCTTCAGACCCTTAAAGAGCCTCAGGCCTCACTGAGCTCCCACCTGGGTCCTACCTCCAGCACTTGTTGATAAAAGCACTTACTATCCTCCAGAGCGACATCCAGATGTTTGCGCTTTCGCATTAGACGAATGAATCAGAATCCGCTTCTTTCAGGAAAATGCAAACATCCAGCAATCGGACACCGGAGCCCGATAGAAAGATGGTTTTCAGGATTCAGCTCGTCCAGTTAGATCCATGTGCATGTGAAAATGTGAAGTGCCTGACATAAGCTAACCAAGTGGAAATGTGTTATGAATTTTTAAAAAATCTGCTGGGTGACTGGGAGGGACAAGGAAGCAGACACATTTCCCCCAGAAAAGACAAAGTCAGCCAAAGTAAAGAGACTATAGACCCCATAAAGGAAGGTCCTTTACATACACAGTGAAAAATGAGTCCCGTGGGGGGGGGGCTCGCCTAAGGCACAGCCCACGAAGGAGGTACCTTTCTGTGGAGGCCACTTAAAGAACCTTCACGCCCCAGTCATTGTGGGGACGAGGATGCGTTCAAAGATGGAACAGGGGGTGGGGACACAGACTGACCGAGTCGCTGCTCCTGTCTGAGCTCAAGATATCGGGGTGTCCACTCTCGGATGTTTCTCCTTAAGTGGACAGGGTGGCAGCTCTGATCAGCGCTGTTCTAAGCCAAAGTGACAGAATAACCGTGGCTCCGTCACAGAGACCATGGCTCTCGCTCCCGAGGCCTGAGGGATGACACAGGCGCTCAGTAGGCCAAGACGCACAGGCCGTGGCTGCGCAGCGCTGGTGAGCCCCTGCCCGCCGCGAGGACGGTCGAGGAGGCTGGCTCCGCATGACTCTCACCCACATCAGGCCGGCAGGCGGGCTGCACGCACACAGTTCAGGGCCAGCAGGAGACTGGAATCTTCTGAGGACAAAGGCAGTGGCATGTTCTCAGGCAACACAACCACATCTAACTGCTCATTAGAACGGCCACAGAGCGAGCGGACAAGGAGACGATGCAATCCCCAGCCTCCCAGAGACCCGGTTCCTTTTGGGATGGCCTAGCACCTGTCACTTATCAAAGACGCACGAGCCAGTCACTGGCGAAGCACTTCAGACTTTTATCCTACGTCATCCCTCACAGTAACATCATCATCATCTTCTTCTCCATTTTACAGATGAGGAAACTGACACCCAGGGGGGCTGAGTAATGTTCCCAGGGCCACACAGCTAGAAAGTGACAGCAATGAGCTTAAATATGGCTGATTCCAAAAGAGGATGCTCTTTCTTCTATATTCTACAAAAAAATTATGGCTGCATCGACTAAGAAGCTAGACTGATGACCTCTTAAAGGCTCCTTGTTAGTAAAAACGTGAGTTACGCGGAGGTCAATGTGGCGGTGGTGGTTTGGGCACAGAAAGGAAATGAAACGGGCATTACAACAGCAAAGCATCAAGCAGGGGGCTCCCCCAGGAGCAGGGCTACGGTTATTCTCATCTCACACTTTCCCAAGTATCTCAGGGCGGCCAAGGAGCCCTAACTTCCCAATCATGTGACCTTGGGCAAACTACTTCACCTCCCTGTGCCTCAGTTTCCTCGCCTCTACAATGGGAAAGACAGCAGCTCCTCCTCCACCGGATCACGTGAGGGTGTCGCCAGGCCGTGCGATTCCCTGTAACCGTGCCTTGGTTTGTAAGAACCATCAAGCTCCTCTTCCTAGCGATTCTGACTCCTGGGAGGGAGGACCCTGGGGAAGAATGAAAAAGTGCCCCTCGGGCACTAAGCACTGTGCCTGGCACACAGAGTGTACATAAATGTTAGCCAGAAACAAACCAAGAAAAGGCACCAAACTCCGCACAGTGATGAGCCAAACTTAAGGAATGATTACGGGGAAGACTGTGGAAGTAAGTGGAGGGGAAACCAGCCAGTAAAATTTAACACTGACAAGGGCAGTGCAATACATTTAAGGAAAAAAAAAATCGAAATCACAAAGAGCTCTGTGGCCACGGTCAGAATCCAGGAAAGGGACCTGTACGCCACGGTAGATCAGACTGTCATCCTATCGTGGCCACAGGGGCCAAAACAAACAAACAGACAACCACTGTGTCCGGCACCGCTGCAAAAGTACTGAAAACAAAAAGCAGCACACTGCCACCCACCCCCGATAAAATTAGAGCATTCTCCACCCTGGGAACAGTGGACGCCTGACCAACCATAAAAGTAAGTTGTAAAAACAGAAGACGGTCACCGAAATGGGCTGTGGGAGGGGGAGGGCAGGCCAGAGCCGCCAGAGAGATCAAGGCCAGCAGAGTCCTGTGAGAATCTAGCAAATGGGAGAGATAAGGTGGGGCGCTAACTCCGTCACCAAATCCTGAAATGACAGGGAGGGAGCGCCTGCTCACACCCTCGGGAGCCCAGAAGAGGCGCAGGCAATATAAATGCATGCCTGGGTTTGGGCAATTACTTGAATGCAACACTGGGGTTCCCCAGGGGTCAGATCCAGAACTATTGTCATTCGCATCTGTGTAAATGCATGGGAAGTAATGAAGGCTGCACAAGGGTCCTGCCTCTCACTGGCTCGGTGACCACTGGCAGCAGCGCATGCCCTTCAAGAGGGACACAGCCCAGCCCTCCCTTGGCGTGTGTTTGGCCTGATACAAAGAATTTTTATGTCTTCCAGGAGTTCTCAGAGATCTAGAGATGATGCCAAGAAGTGTAAATCCAGAGACACACGCTATCCTCCTGCCCATCAAATGAAACTGTTCAAGTATATGACAGTGTTTTAGATGTTTTTTTATTTCTAAGAACACTAAAATGCTCCCAAACACCTCGCCCTGGGCTTGAGCACTGAAGGGTAAGGCACCCCGTATTCTACAGCGGCACAGAGAGGGAACGCAGATGTGTTGAAGGTCTCTGGCTAGGGAGTGAACTGGGCTTAGAATTTACCACGCAGTCCACAACGGGCTGCCCGTCCACCCTGCAATCCCTCTGCACGCTACCACAACCAACATGCAGGCCAAAGTCCTCAGGGGGACCAGACAGAAGTAACTATGGGGCCCAACCCTTCTAGGCCACCAGTGCTAACTCCTGGGGGGGGGGGGGGTGCCCACACACCTAGCACACGCTAAATCCTGCGCGAGCCTTAGGAAACAACTGCTTCATGTCTGAGCATGCTTCCAGTGTGGGCTGGCCTACATGAAGTCTAAGCGAGGCACTCACCTTGCCATGGGTCTTCATTAGGATTTAAAATTTCAAGTGCCCTACGACACAGCCACTCCCCTTTCTCGGTGTCTACCCAAGAGAAACACTCACCTGTGTTACCAAGAGGCAAGTGCAGCCAAGTTGACTGTAACATTTCTAACAGCAGAGGATTTAGAAATAACCTTACATGTCCACCAGTTAGAGCAGCGGTTCTCAACCTGTGGGTCGTGACCCCTTTGCAGGGGTCAAACGACCCTTTCACAGGGGTCGCCTAAGACCATCGGAAAACACATATATAATTACATACTGTTTCTATGATTACTCACTATGCTTTAATTAGGTTCAATTTGTAACGATGAAAATACATCCTGCATATCAGATATTTACATTACGATTCATAACAGAAGCAAAATTACAGTTATGAAGTAGCAAGGAAAATAATTTTACGGTTGGGGGTCACCACAACATAAGGAACTGTATTAAAGGGTCGCGGCATTAGGAAGGTTGAGAACCACTGAGTTAGAGGAAGGCTGAACAACAGTGTCGCCTTCTGGTTCCAAGAAAGGCCATCCAGGAGTTAAACAGAATCAAGAAGACCTACCTAAGGATTGGAAGCAATCACCAAGAGGTGCCCTTGTGGGCAGGGCACGGGGGACAGGACGTGTGTGCAAAGCACGTCTCTTTTTTAAAGCTCTATGGGTATAGCTGCAAGTATGTAAAGCATTTGAAAAATACCAGCAAACCTGAAACAGCGGCTGACCTCTGGGGAAGGGCTGGATTAGGAGTGGTTGTCAAGGAAGATTCCGTCTGCTCTGGAAGGTTTGCCTTGTTTTCCTGTGAAGAAGGTGTTTGTTCATTTACTCGCTGTGTAACAAAATTTCATTTAACTTTAAAAAAAGAAAGAAACTGACCCTGTTCAATACATTTCAGTAATATGTCTGGGGGCACGTGCTTCCCCAGGAGGCTGACAGCTCAGCAGTGCAAAGCATGCAGGCTTTGCAACACGGATCTTGTTTCAATATGACAAGCCCAACTAAGGAAGAGGCAGGGAAAAGGCAGAAAGTGTGTTGGGGGCTTCTGGGTAATCCAAGGGGATGTCCTCGGAATCATTCCAATTCTTCTGGCTGAGGATTCCAGCTCTCCAACAAACACACACACACACACACACACACACACACACACACACGCCAATAATGGCAGCCCTCGCCCAATCACACTCGTTCCTCACATTAATCTGGATCCTGTGGACACTGAGAAAAATCTGAATACCCCATTAGACAGGCTCCAAAATATTCCTGACTCACCAGGACTACCTAACCATATAGGGTACTGATTTTGTTGTTTTTGTTGTTAATCCTCACCGGAGCATACTTTTTCCCTTGATTTTTAGAAAGAGTGGAAGGAAGGGAGGAAAGGGGAGAAGGGAAGGGAGAGAGAAACATCTATATGAGATGTTTCTATATATAAACATCTATATATCGATTGGTTGCCTCCCCCATGGACCCCGCCTAGGGCTGGGGATCGAACCCACAGCCCTTAGGTCCACAGGCCAATGCTCTAACCACTAAGCAAACCGGCCAGGGCATAGGATACTGATTTTTAAGCACACACACCCCCTCCATCTCTTCAAAGCACTCTGTATCAAGTCCCCAGAAACACAAAATTTGAATCTTAAGAACCTAATTGGCAAAACTAACCTGAGGTGATAGAAATCAGAGCTGTGGTCCTTCTGATGGGGGTGGGGGTGGGGGGTGTAATCTAGAAATAGTCACAAGGAACATTTCTGGGGTGATGAAAATGTTCTGTCTCGAAATGCATTTGTCAAAACTGATTAACCAGCACACTTAAGATCTGAGCATTCCACTGTATGCAAATTATACCTCAATCTAAAAAAAAAAAAAAAATAGAGCTACTGAAACGCTGTTTCTCTGCCAGCTGCAGCAGAACTTTGAGCTGCCCTATCAGACTTCTGAAATCCCTGTTATGCTATGTAAAGAGCACAGAGCACCATGGCGACAGTGGCCATAAAAATAGATAACAAGATTAAAATGGATAGAGGACACATGAATTTAAGAACGGCGCACCAGGAGCAATTCATTTCCAGCGGCAGAAGAAAAACAGAAAGAGGAGAGGGAGCTTCTCATCCCCCCTGCACTTTGAAAAGCAGCCGCCCGAGTGTGGTTGTTTTTCCTAAAAGTGTTTTCATGACTTCCCAATACTCAAAGGACAAAACGGGCTGAGAACTGTTATTATTCCTCCCTGTATTTTGCTTTAAAAAAAATATTTTTAAAGCACAGGGTAGTGTACGATTTTCCCATCTCCAGTCTATGTGGCCCAGGGAACCGATTCGTAGCAATTCCACAAGCAGAGCTGATGTGCCATACACTGTGTAGGGCCCCAATGATACTGAGATAAAGGAAAACTGGGCCCTTTGTCACCGAGGCACAGGTTTCCAATTTAGTTCTAAATGACCAAGTTCTGCCTGTATTTTATATGCCTCTAAACCTGTCACTCCCTAAGCTGTGCACCCCAAAACTACTTTACTCCATGTGAACAGAGAGCACTTTCCTGCCAAATACTGGTGTTTTTTTTTCAAATGCTAAAGTGTGAGCCCGGATCACGTGGAGACAGAAATCATCTTGTGATGCTCTCCGAAGCTGAGATAAGCCTCTATTCTCTCTGCAGAGCTCTCTAAGAAATGTTTGCTATGTGATTTTGCCCTGGCAGTGCCCGAACCAGCAAAAAAGGTAATCCAAAAATACCAGGAAGAAAATCTAAAAACGTTAAATAATCAGGGTGGGTTCTAAATCAACCATAAATTTCAGTAAACTTTAGGCAATATTAAACTAATCAAATGTTCTACATGTAAGCTATAAGTAATAAAAATGAAAAATGTTTAGCTTAAACCACAAACTTATTGTTTGATATAAAATACACACACACACACAAACACACACACACACATTCTGGGAAATCCCACACAAAAGTTCTTTTAAATGTATCCATCTCTTTTCCTCTTTGTCGCTAAACCTACAGAGCAATCACAAGGCTCAGTCTCTTCCCAGGTATCAGGATGGCATTTACAGGGCTATGCCTGGTGATATAAATCTGTGGTGTTGGACATTGAAAGGAGATGGTCAAGGGCACTCTCAGGTCCCCAAAAGCCAAGCAGAGCACCCATCATTCAATTGAAGGGCCCCACCTTGGTTCATTCATTTTCCTGCTAGAACTGGCCGATACACACATCATTAGTCTTTTATGTATCCATCTATTTTATTTATTATTATTTTCCATTTCTACCCAAGCCCCAACCTTTTCGCTTTCCTAAAGACCAAATTCCATTTTCAGCAGCCCTGTGCCCACAAACTGAGTCCTGCCCCGTTTTGGAATAGTTCTCAAAAGTGACTGTAGAAGGGTCTCTTGAGAATGCTGGGACCCATTTATAAGCATTTTTTAAAAAGCTGAAATGATGCTATTGACTCAGATACTATGCAACTACAGGTAGAGCCCCTCATCCATATTCTCATTCAGCTGTGACAAATCACTTAATGACCTGACCCTAAAGATTGGAAAGGATTTTAGAGGTCGACCTAATTCGTGTCCTTCTCTTCTACAGTAGTTTTACTCAATAGCATTCGACCCAACTTGGATACCTCCAATAATGAGAAGTTCACTATTCTATGGGCAAACATTTCCATTGCTGGGCAGCTCTGTCAGCTGGAAAACCCTGTTTCACACTGAACTGAAATCTGCCCTCCTAGTCGTTGGGGTTCAAAGGAACCTTAAAGCTCATCAACTTCAGTGTCATCATTCTACAGATGAGGAATCTGAAGCTAGAGAGGATCAAGCCATTGTTCTATCCATCGGTCAAATTCCAACAGCAGGAGCAGACATGAGCAAGTCTACCCTTTCCTATGCTTGGTAACCATGGAAATACTTGAAAGCTCGATCACATGCCCACCCCATGAGTACACTCCAGTCATTCCTGATTCTACACCAGCCTGGTCGCCTTCCTGTGGATAGTCTTGCTGGTTCGTGTTTTTTTAAAAATATGACCGGCGGTGGGGGGGGGGGGGGGGTTCAAATGTCACATGACCAGCAGAGGTTATTAAAACTAGATCCCTTGATTGGATGGATGAATTCCTGAACCAGTTGAGAACTGGATTCAACTTGTGAACGCCTCATCCCACTTAGGGCCCACATTAATCTCACAAACATAAAACTATCTCAAAACTTTTTCCCCACATGATCTGCCCCTCCTCGGCATGTGTGGAGTGCTACCAGGGTTGTGCCTGTCTGCTCACCTGTGGGTCTGCCCCTTTCAATTTGATTATCAATTTCAGATCAAGAACTGTCTTATTTTGTGACTCCAGTGCCTCATCCTGTGTGTGACACAAAGCAGGTAGGGACAGCCCAGCAGCTGTGGCTCAGTGGTTGAGAATTAACTTATGAACCAGGAGATCACTGTTCGATTCTCAGTCAGGGCACATGCCTGCATTGCAAGTTTGTTCCCCAGTGTGGGGCATGCAGGAGGCAGCCGATCAGTGATTCTCTCTCATCACTGATGTTTCTATCTCTCTCTCCCTCTCCCTTCCTCTCTGAAATCATTTTAAAAATATATTTAAAAACAAAAGAACAAAGCAGGTAGGTACTCAAGATATGTCACTGAATGAACCATCTACTTTTCCCCATCCTGTCCTTGAACAACAAAATGTTTCTAAAATATCAGTGTTCAAGAGAAAGAAAAGACAAACCAGACTAGGAGAAAATATGTGCAAAAGATACAGCTGGTGAAGGACTATTAGCCATAATATACAAAGAACTCTTAAAACAATAATAAGAAAACAAACAACTTGATTAAAAAATTGGCCAAAGACCTTAACAGACGCCTCACCAAAGAAGATCTACAGATGGAAAAAAAAAAAAAAGTACATGAAAAGATGTCATCACATGTCATTAGGGAAATGCAAATTAAAAGAAGATACCACTAAACACCTGTTAGAATGACCAAAATCCAGAACACTGACAACACCAAATGCTGGTGAGGATGTGAAGCAACAGAAACTCTCATTCACTGTTGGTAGGAACACAAAATGGTACAGCCTCTTTGGAAGACAGTTTGGCAGTTTCTTACAAAAAATAGACAGACTCTTACCATATAATCCAGCAACAGCACTTGCTGGTATTTACTCAAAAATTTGGAAACTTATGTCCACGCAAAAACCTGCACCCAGATGTTCAGAGTAGCTTTATTCATAATAATTGTGAAAACTTGGAAGTAACCAAGATGTCCCTGAGTAGGTAAATTTAGGATAAACTGCGGTACATTCAGGCAATGGAATATTATTCAGCACTAAAAAAGCCGTGAGAAGCAACGAAGGAAGCTTAAATGCATATTACTAAGTGAAAGAAGCCAAACTGAAAAGGCTGCATACTCTGTAATCCCAACTATATAACACTGTGGAAAAGCAAAACTGTCCAGACAGTAAAAAAGGTCAGTGGTTGCTAGGGGTTTGGGGTGATGTTGGGATAAACAGGCAGAGCACAGAGGTTTTTAGGGCAGTGAAAGCACTCCATCTATATATATAAAAGCCTAAGCAACCGAACGACCGGTTGACTGGTCGCTATGACGCACACTGACCACCAGAGGACAGACGCTCAACGCAAAGGATCAGGCTCCCTCCTGTCTGGATAGGCCTGCAGGGATCGGGCCTGCGGGGATTGGGCCAAAAACAGCTATCTGACATCCCCCGAGGGGTTCCAGATTGTGAGAGGGAGCAGGCCAGGCCAAGGGACTCCACCGGTGCACAAATCTGTGCACCGGGCCTCTAGTA